TGAAATTAACATTTGTAGTTCTTTCTGTCTGATTTTACTGTAAACCTGGACTGTGCATAAATCAGTCTACTGATTTGGGGGAGATTAGCTTAGAAAGTATGGGTGACCTTAGGTGACAGTCTTGGGAAAGCACTAATTCTGGTTTGCAGAATGTAAGAGGTGGGTAAGAGTGGGGTGTCCCTTAGAGTCTTAGCAGTGAAAGGGAAGAAGACGGCAGCTGAAGATGACAGTATGGAAAGAAGGCAGCATTTTTAAAAAGACAAATCTGCCCCCATGCTGCTATAAAAAGTACCATTTGTTAAAGAAACTACGCTTCAGAGTAGCCACAGAAGAGGGTGCTCTTCAACTGAGAAACCTAATAAGCCAGCCCATCTCCCTTCTCCCTCCATCGCAAGATAACTTGCTGTTGCTGATCCTGAAAAGCCAGTACAGTAATCCTCCACACAGGGAGAAGCCAGCATCTGCACAAAGTTACCATGAGGCAGAAAGCTAACATCAAACCTTCCCGGCAAATTATACAATACACACAAAGAGTGAACACAAAAGTAAAAAGAAGGGAAGGGAATGAAAGAGAACCACCAAACAGAAGAAAACTGAAAGGCCACACTGGACCATGAATGACGTACAGAAAACAAGCAGTGTCATCAGGAAAGGAACCGTGAGCCAGGCACACAGAAACTCATAGCTGACATGGAAAGACAGCAGGAAGAAGTGTGAAGCAGGAGCCGGCGGACTCTGCAAACCCAAACCTCAGCTCGGCAGTGGAAACCGTGTTACAGGCGCCCAAGGAAAGATAGACAGGTATCCCCACAGTTCAGTAAGTGATTCAAAGAATAGGAAACGGACCGGTCACGAAAAGGAAACTGAAATAAAAAGAAAATGGTAGAATTAAATATTGCATTAAAAACAATAGATATTAATATTTTATTTATTTATTTATTTTTTGTGGTTTTTTGCTGGGGCTGGGTTTGAACTCGCTACCTCCAGCATATGGGACCGACGCCTTACTTCTTTGAGCCACAGGTGCCGCCCAATATTTTAAATTAGAATTAAAGAACTTTGAAATAAAATGAGATTTGAATTTCTGTATTGAAAGGAATCCTGTCTCCTGTATGTCTGGGACAATTGATCTAGAACCACTAACTCTTAAGGTATATTAGGGTTTTAGACTTTATTTATTTATTTATTTATTTTTGGCCATTTTTGGCCAGGGCCAGGTTTGAACCCACCACCTACAGTATATGGGGCCAGCACCGTTCTCCTTGAGCCACAGGCGCCACCCATGGTACATGGTATTAGACTTTAAAAGAAAAGGAGGAAAAAGGCCATTAGACCTGTAAGCCAAAAAATAATAAGTAATTTAAAATGGAAAATTTATTTAAGATGGAAAGAAAGTCAACTTGGCGTCATGCTTCTTGATAGTAATATCAAGTAAGAAAACAAAGGACAAATATTTTTAAGAAGTTTAAAATGAGTGGTCATATGTCCATAGTAATATCCAAGATTACTTGGGAGTTGCATTTTGAGTGACTTTGAAAAAATGCTGCAGTTTTTAAGAAATTTTTCAAACATATCTTTGGTTGGTAGATGCTGAAATAGATGTGAACTGTCATGGTATCTGCAAGTTAACTTTCAAATGGGCTAGCAAAAAACAATTAAAAAAATATAGAACCATGTTTGGAATTTTTCATAACAAACTACTTGACATTTTAAAAAGTTAAAACAAGTTGCCAAATTTCAAATATTTTTGCATACTTAAAAATATCTTTTATAAATGACTGAGAGACATTTTGCATGTAAAATGTATTTATCTTATACATTGTTACTTTAGGTCTTTGGAATAACTAAGGAAGAGTGACTTTTTCATTTTTTATATACTCTTAGAATTGCTGTCAATGGTCTGATCTTCGATTTTTTTCAGCACATAATTGTTGAAACTGCTGGTATCTTAATCGCTTCTTGGCCTTTTGGCTAACATCAAGTGAAACTGCTGGTATCTTAACAGAAATAAAGGCGGTAGGACCAAACTGCAGGAGTAGTGACTATATTCTTCTCAGTAAGAAAGAAACAAAAATGTGTCACTTTACTTAAGAATATCCTTGGAGAATGTCCTGTCATTTAAGAATTTTTCCTTGAGGAAAAATTATTAATGCAGTCATTTATCTTTTTATTATCGAGTTATAATGTGAGTGTATATTTTTGATCTAAGTCCTTTTTCAGATTTATGAATATTTCTCCCATTTTATAGATTATTCTTTCACTTTTGTGATTGTGTCCTTTAATACAAGAGTTCTAAAATTTGGTGTCCAACTTGTCTATTTTTTCATTTTGTTTCTGTATATGTGGATTTTATACATGATGTAGATAGACATTTTAAGTATTAATTATACGATATTTTAAAGCAATGTAGGGATTTTGGGTCAATGAATCTTTATTTTATTTTATTTATTCATTTATTTTTGCAGTTTTTGTCCGGGGCCAAGTTTGAACCCGCCACCTCCAGTATATGGGGCTGGTGTCCTACTCCTTTGAGCCACAGGCACTGCCCTCTTTAGTTTATTTTTAAGTGAGATAAAAATATACCATGTTAGTTTGCTAGAGCTACTGTTACCATGGACTGGGTGGCTTGAACAACAGAGATGTGTTAGCTCCCTGTCTGGAGGCTGGAAGATGCTGGCAGGACCAATTTATTCTAGGACCTCTCTCTTTAGCTTGTAGATAGCTGTTTTCCTCTGGGGTCTCCATGTGGTCTTTACTCTAACTCAGTGTCCTAATCTCCTCTTGTTAGGCCACCAGTTATACTGGAGGGCTGAACCAAATGACCTCGTTTAACCTAGTTACCATTTTAAAGACCACATCTATAAATATATTTCATTCTGCGGTACTGGGGATTAGGGCTTCAAAATGTGGATTTTGAGGGATATGTGGGGGTACTCAATTGAGTTGTACGGGGGGTACCCGTAACAAATATATAACATAAAATTTACCATTTTAACTATTTTTAAGTATATTTCAGTAGTGTTAAATATTTACATTATTGTGTCACTGGTACCCCCATCCATTTCCAGAGCTTTTTTCATCTCGTGAGCTGAAATTCCAGTAAACACTACTCCCCACTGTTTGTTCCTCCCAAGCCCTGGCAACCGCATTTTACTTTCTGTCTTTATGAAACATAATTCTTTGGAAATATGTTATGCTTTATTCTGAAATTTATCAAAATACAAAATGTCAAGATAAATTTTAAATGCTTGGACCAAAAGTAAAATTATAAAACAAAATCAATTGTATTTTGAAGTGGTCGAGAAGATAATTCATTACAACTGCTAGCTAGAGTTTCTGTAGAGGTGTCCCAATTGTATACAGCAGTTATACAAATAGCCAGTTTTTCTGCACTGTGCTTAGAGACATCAGCTCATTAAAATCAGATGCACTGGACTCTCGCAGGCAATTGTTATTTTGGAAGGGACAGTATTTTTTTTTTTTTTTTTTGCAGTTTTTGGCAGAGGCTGGGTTTGAACCCGCTACCTCTGGCATATGGGGCTGGTGCCCTACTCTTTTCAAGCCACAGGCGCCGCCCCAAGGGGGACGGTATTTTTTAGTATCATTAGTGAGAATCTTTAAAGTCCCCCCCCGAATTAACTATTTTTATGCAAATTCTGCAAGGTATCTACAAACGGTTTACCTAGATAAGATATTCTTGAAGTTTAAATCATATACAAAATTTTGACTTTCTCTTGGGAAAGATTACAGAGTTCTCATCAGATTGCTTCAGTGCAACTCTAGAAACTTAGAACAATCTTGTTTCATTCATTTTTCAAGATAATTCAAAGTTTAGGTTTTTAAAATTTAATTTTTAATTTATAAGATGATGTGTAATTTACAGGAAAAAAGGAAGAGGAAGTTCAAATATCTTCAAGTCTTATTGTCTTGAAATTTAATGTTTATTTGCTATTTCTGAAAGGGTTGATAAGTTTTAAAAACATTTTATCAAATTTTCTTAATTTGTAAAGATTCTATTTTTTATTCTTATATCTGCAGTTACTATTTTATTTTATATTACATATACATTATACCAACTTTTACATCTTGTACATCTCATTGTGAATGTAAGCATTAAAAGATATTTTTTGTATGAAACAACTTCTCAAGCAAGAATTCAATGTACTCTATCCTAATATGAAGGTAGTAGATGAGCTAATACAAGGGGGGTAGGGGAATGAACAAGTGGGGGGGGGAGGGGGGTCATGGTGTGTGGCCCACCTCTTGGAGCAGGACATAATTATAAGAGGGATATCTAACTAATGCATTCAGTGTAACCTAATTCTTTGTACCCTTAATGAATCCCCATTATTAAAAAATAAATATAAAAAAACTTCTCAGAATTGTTTTCATTTCATTTTATTCCCATATTCATTCAACAAACATTTGAGTCTTTATTATATGTAGATATTAGATATATAAAGATGAATAAGACATGGATTTTTATCTTCAAGGAGGTTAAAAAATATATGCATACACAGGCATAAAGAACTTAATATGTTTAAAAGAAGAATAAACAAAGAAGAGACATGGGGGTTGGTCCAGGCCCACCTGTTAGGTGTGGCTGAAATAAGAGAAAGGGCTGCTAGGGCGAGACTTGAAGGTGGTTGTGGCCACATTTTGAAACCTTTAAAAGCCGTGTATGATGAAAAGAATGCTCTGCGAACAGGGAGTTCTGAAACATTTTACGTCTCAGAGGAAGATAGGATCTGAGAACATCAGGTAATGTTAGTTTAGCTAATCTTATTAGTAATTCAATGCAGTATGAATATATTTGCAGTCATGTCATTAAAATTTCTCATTAGGTAATTTTTCAAAGGTTATTGATAAATAGTGATTGTTTTAAAAACTTACTATAAAACTGTGTATTTTAATATATTTTATATTTGGCATACTTAGATATTTGCCACATTTAAAAGGTGTTTGCCTTAGCTCTGTGTTTTTTAATTCTTTTTTTCCAGCTATGAGAATGATGGGAAGGATGAGGACCTAATGGAACCTCTGAAATACGCCGAGCAACTTCCTGTAGCTCAGATCATACACCAGGTCTGTTTTCCATTTTATTCTTTTAAAAGAAACAAGATTTTTAATCTCTGAAAATAATTGCTTTTGTTAGGTTTTTCAGAATCAATGTGCTTTAGCCGGAAGGCATTCTGGGCTGTCTGTCCCTATTCAGACTACACCTGTTACAGTTGAAACTTTCATTCAGAGCTCAGTACTAGAAGACTACTTGGTGTATAACACTAGAACTCTTATGTAAAATATAGGGTAAAATCAGAATGATCTTTTGTGTATTACTGAACAATAACACTTAATTTCAGAAAACTTTCATTTGGAACCATTTATATATAGTGCTGGTTACAAGTGACAAGGAAAAAGAGCTGAAAAAAAAGTCATTTGGTGTGATTTTTTGGAGTGGCTAAAAAGAGAAACAATCTCGCCCTGAGTCCCCCATCCCATTATCAGCTCTTACACAGTACAGTTTTACATGTCATGTGGGCAGTTTATTCATTTCCAATTATAATGAATCTATCATCCCTTCTGCATAACTACAGGCTTAGAGAAGACAGTGTTATAAGTATCTAAGCTTCGACTTTGTACTGTAATTTTGATAGTGTATAACCTCTGCCCTGCTGGGCCAGAGTCTAATAATTTTAAATGGTCTGTTGACCAGAGTTATAGATGGTCTCTAGACCCAGCAGATTTTTTCAGGACCTTACAGATTATAGGAAATTTTCAAAGCCCTTAAATGGCAGAGTTCCTCAAAGTTGTTCTGAATGTTAATTGTTATTGTGAGTTTTTCTTATGTCTTTCTCAATCAAGACTTTATTGAGCTGATCCGTGTTGATTAGAAGTGCCAGTTTGAGCTTTACTAAAAGAAACAGAGGCTTTTACTTTAAAATGTTGGCTCTCTATATTTTTTCATTGACATTACAATTTCGTATTAAAATTCCGTGAGAAACTACAAAAACTGGTCAGAAATTTGTTCCTTTGGGAAGCTCATCTGTACTTGGTAATCAGGTCCAGTTTATATGTCAGGAATTCCCCAGTGTTGTCAGAGCTTAAATGACCTAACAGTCTGCAAATGTCACATTTAAAATTCTGTCTTCATGCCTGACTCTCAGCATAAATGAATTAAACAGCAGAGCAGGCAGCAAGTCAATATGTTCTTAACAGTAAGAGTGAGCAATGAAACAGTTTGTGGTTTGCTCAGAATAGGTAAATAGAATCTGCCCAGAGCAGTTCACCTAGAATAAAACCAGAAAGAGGAAACAAGACTTAACCTTTAAGATGGTTGACCAGATGAAATGTCAGTAATGTTTTTACAGCATGAATGAACCAGTAAACTACCTAGTTTATGAACATCTGTGTTTTGCTGTTATACACTATGTGAATTCAAAGATGAAAATTTTTGACCCTGGTGAAAATGTTGGATGGCGATTTTTTTTTTTTCTTGGCACTATAAGAAACTGTATTAATTTCAATACTCAACTGTAAACATTACATTAAAATTTAGTAGGACCTGATTTTACTAAATTTCTATCTCTAAGAAATTTTGTATATAGGAATTTATTTTATTTTCATTTTTATTGAATGAAATTAATTCTGTTTTCAGTTAAAGAGTAGTCAGGCAAGGTCACTGTTAAGGCTAGGCTTTTCATCTATTCTTTTTATTTCCCTCTTTTGATAGTCAACTTTCCTTACAAATTAGGGATCGTTACCTTTGGCCTGTCCAAGTGGTCTTTAAGAAGCATATGTGTTATGTAACCAGAAGTTGACTGATAAATGGATTATTTGAAAGCATCTTTTCCCCTAAGAGAATAGTAGTACATATGATAATTAGGTTCAGCCAATTCCACAAAAGATTTTGATGTATAATACATCTAATTTGCAGCATTATTGTAGTAGCTAACCTCTACCTGTAACTATCTTTGTAAACAGTAATCTTGCATTATACTTATGCCTCTCCCGGTATACATTAATTTTTTTTAAAAATTAAGTTATTTACTTACATGTTTATATATCTGATCTGATTATCTTTCTGGACATCCTTTCAGCATTTTGCCTTATACCAGGTATGCCTATACTGTGTATCTGAATGGATGGATTTGTAGTTTGGGAAGGCAAGACCACTTCCCTTCCCTGCCACCTGGTCATTAGAACACAGGGATTCTCACTGGTAGACAGTTTAGGAACTGCAGGAGAGATGGTAGCTTTTTGAGTGTCAGGGGCAGAGGCTAAAATATGAGGAGCAACTTGAGCATAAAAGAGAGAGGAATGAAGCTAAGTCATTTTTTAAAAATTGGATTTGTTTTCTTATCAACCAGCCTTCTTTCCTTTCCTTCCTGAGGGCAGAAAATTTAATGTAGTCACTTCCAGATAAAGTCACTCAAAGGATTGTCTCTCTTCTCCTTTTTCCTGAGACAGAGGAATCACAGCTGAGGTAATAGGATGTAGGTGACATGGCTTCCTGGCACTAAGAGAGTCAGTCTTCCGTCCCCGAGATAGACTGTGATCTTGGATGGTTTTGATTGGCATTTATTCTGGAAACCCCTGCGATGGCTGGTGTGCCCAGCATGTGTGTTAATGCTTAGCACACTGCCTCTCCGTGCACAGCTGTGTAAGATAGAGACAGAACAGAGCAGGTGATGGGACAGACGGCCCGTTGCTGTCCTTCCCTCTCTGTCTGCCCCACTCTCTGTCTTCTGACTCTCGCTTTTCTTTTCTGCCCCTGCGGTTCCTTCTGTTTCATCCCTGTGAGCCAAGGTGACACAAATGCTTCCCAAATGTTGGTGAATTTTGTTAGTATTTTTGGTTGAACGGTTAACTAATGGAATGTTTGATGCATAGTAGACACTGGATAAGTATGATGGCCACTGATTGTAGAATTCAGACATTTTTGCCGACGCTGATTGAGAAGCAAAAAAGAGTTAAGGGATCTCCACAGAAGGTCACCAAGAGCTGTGGCCAGACCTGGTGATGATACTCAGATTCCTTTCATAGCCAGCAATGCTAGTATATAGCAAACATTTCTGGAAGGTATGCACATTGTAGCGTTCATTATATTAACTGTTAAGGCAAGCTGGTAGTCCTGCAGCAAAGTTTAAAGGCATAAATCATGGGAAGTGTTAGTTGCAGTTATTGACAAGGGGCATTATTCTCCATGTATATGAAAGTGCAACTCATCCTTTTAAGGATTTATTAAATTTTAGGACTTAGAATGTAATGAAGAAACAGCAGAAAAATACATACAAAGAAATTGTTTTGGTTAACTTTCTATGCTTATGTTGATAATTTCCCTTTAATGGTAATTATTTTTTCTCAAAATCTGGTAGGAAGGAAGGTATAGAACTACTTTGTCTTATTGAGACACACAGAGAGAGATGTTGATGATTTTTCCATAGAAGTAAACTTTTCATTTACTTCGTGGATATAAATTTTAAGATTAAAACACTTTAAGAAAACAACAAATTTTAAATTAGAATTTGAAACTTGTGTATATAACATAGTGTCAGTATGGAAAATTGGTGCTTTTTCTTCTTTGTAAAGAATCACGTGCAGATGGGTCCGATGGCACTTTTTTCTTTTTTTTTCTTTACAATTAGATGGTTCATTTCACATTAATTTGTAAACATAAAAAGTTAATTAGTATCATATAGCATTTATTGAATTATAAAATGATAGTGATTAAAAAAATCATACTCAAAACTCTTTTAAAAAGAAAAATATATGTGTAGTTATAAAGTATACTAAAATACAGATGTTAAACTTTCTTTGAAGTAAAATACTTTAGAAATGTACTAAAAAACAAAAAAGTCAGTAATGAATGAAAATATATATGTGTATATATCTATAATTTAGCTGTTGTTGTCATAACACTTTTCTACTGTCAGCTTGTCAAGCATATCTTTTTATTTATTTCATTTTGCATCAAGATTCAATTCTAGTTACCCTTGACAGATATTAAAATATTTAGGCCAATGCTGTTTATTGTGGAAAGTGGCACTGATACAAAAATGTGGGCTGTTGTTATGAGCAGAAACTATGTGAGCAGAATAGGCAGATTACCTAGAAACCCTAATATATGAATTATATAAATGGTAAAGGTGACATCCCAGGTCACTGGGAAGTTAAAGGATTATTCAATAAATGATGCTTAGACAGTTGATTAATTATTAGGGGAAGGGATGAGATTCTTGCTTTATAACACACAGAAAAAGCAAATTCTAACAGGGTTATAGCTTAATGCAGGAAAATAAAAAAGAGCAAAAGCATTAGAAATGTATGTTGGGAAATACTTTTGGGTAAAGATTGCTACGCATGAAAATTATAGCAAAAACTACAGATATATTTGACTTTGTAAAAATTTTAAATTACTAAACTTCAAAATGAAAAGATAGCTATTAAAGTGGAAAATGTTATTTTTATAGCATTAATGTCTTTATTTATAAAGAACTTTTTATAAAGAGTTAAGAAAAAACTTCAATACTAAAAACATGTTGATGTTCATTAATGATCTAAGAATTGCTTATTTCAATCGGAAAGTACCATGTTTTGACCTTTTAGATTAGCAAAGATAAAAGTCACAATAGTCAGTGATGATTAAGCACTGATACTACTGGAGGGGAGTATAAATTGGAACAAATGGAGGTCATTTTGATAATTCATCCCCAAATATGTACATTTATAAAGTAGTTAAACATGATAGGCTGACGACTCAAATATATTCTTTTCCTTCCTGAATAATCCTACTAAAACGAGAGTAAAGATACAAAAATATATAAACCCCACAAGACAACGGAAAAAGAGAAAATAGCAAATGAAAGCAGCAACAAAATTTAAAACAGGAAGAAATAACTATTGGACAAATGGTGACCAGTTTAGCAGACGGGAGGTCTGTGCCCTGCCTTCCTTCACGGGGATCTCTGTAAGCAGGAGACAGTTTGTGTCTCAGAACCCTGGAAGTGTAGGTAGGAAGCACTTCAGAGATTGGGTCCAAAATGTAGCTCCTTGTCCATCTCAAGTGCCCCCCTCCTGTTTAACTC